CTTTCATCCTTCTATTTCTTCTCCTGAACTTGCTCCTGTTTCATCACCCACTATTATACAACACCTACAAATTCCTCTTTCTTCTCCTTCCTCTTCTCTTCCTTTGAGATCCTCTAGATCTACAATCACTCCTACCCACTTTAAGGATTATATTTGATATCTTGTACCTCCCACTACTTCTGCCATTTCTTCATCTTCCTCCCAGTCTACCTTACCTACCCCTTTACTTTGAACCTTCTTTCTACCATCAAGCTACCTCTAATCCTGCCTGGCAAGAGGCAATGTTAAAAGAATTCCAAGCCTTGGAGTCTAATCAAACTTGGGATATTGTTCCTCCACCACCTGGCAAGAAGTTCATTCATTACAAATGGGTTACAAGATTAAGCAAAAATCTGATGGTAACATTAAGAGATACAAAGCCAGGTTGGTCATTAGGGGGGATACTCAACAGGATGGTGTGGATTATTTTGAAACATTCTCACCAGTGGTCAAGTTCACACTATTAATTGTATACTTGCTTTGGCTGCTAAACTTTCTTGGCTTGTATACCAGCTTGATGTGAACAATGCATTCTTGCATGTGAATTTCTCTAAGGAGGTATACATGAAAGTTCCTCTTGGCCTCACTATCTCTTCTTCTTCTTCTTCTTCTTCTTCTTCTTCTTCTTCTTCTTCTTCTGGTCCTCCTTTGGTATGCAAACTCAAGAAGTCATTGTATGGTCTCAAACATGCATCAAAACAATGGTTTGCTAAATTGTGTAATGCTCTCACTTCTATGGGATATTCTTCCAACCTTAATGACTACTCACAATTCTCTAAAATCACTCCTTCTTCAACTGTTTTTATTGATGTTTATGACATATTGTTGGTTGGCAATGGCATCTGTGAGTTGAACTCTATCAAATCCTTTTTATTCAACCAATTCAAGATCAAAGATTTAGGTCTTGTTCACTATTTTCTGGAACTTGTTTCTCACCTGCCCCAAGGACTGCTTATTAATCAACATAAGTATCTCAAGGAGCTCTTTACTAAGTTTCATTGTGACTCTGCTTCTCCTGTTGTTACACCATTGGACATGTCTATCAAGCTCACTCCCACTTCTAGTGATCCATTGGCTGATGCTTCTCCTCATAGAAAGCTCATAGGGAAGCTGAACTTTCTTCAACACACAAGGCCTAATATCTATTTCTCTGTTTAGCACCTTAGCCAGTTCCTTAATACTCCTCGAACTGCTCATAAGCAAGCAGGTCTACATGTTTTGAGATACTTGGTTAAGGATCCTGCTAGAGGCATTCTACTTAGCAACACCTACGATTTTTCAGTCATTGCTTATTCAAGCTCTGACTAGGCAGGGTGTTCTTCTTCTAGGAAGTCTGTGACTGGTTATTATGTTACTTTTGGGGGCAATCCTGTTACTTGGAAGTCTAAGAAACAGCCTACAGTATCATTGTCTTCTGCAGAAGCTGAATACATGGCTCTTAGAAAAATTGTTGCTGAGCTTACTTGGCTTGTTAGGCTGTTGGCAGACTTTGGTCTTTCTATTTATGCTCCAATTCTTTTATACTGTGATAACAAGTCAGCCATTAGCATTGCCAAAAATCTTGTTTCTCATGAGAGGACCAAGCATATTGAGCTTGACTGTCATTTTGTCCCAAAAACACTTGTTAGTGGCCTCATCTCTCTGCACTATATTTCTACTAAGTCTCAACTGGCATACATTTTTACCAAACCCCTAACAGGCATTCAACATCAGGTTCTCTTGTGCAAGTTGGGAGTGTTCTCACCCTCCAGCTTGGGGGAGAGGGATGTTAGAATAACATACCCATATCATATTGGCCCAAAAGCCTTTAAAGAAGAAATAGACCCTGGCCCAAATACTTGATAGATTTATAACCTTGTAATATTATTGTATCAATAGCCACAAATGTAACAGATAGCCATTCATAGCCATTCTTTATTGTTTAGTATATATAGACAAATAAGTGTTAAGTTGTACAAGAGATTATATTGAATATATGCAGATTTTTCTATCTCTGTCTTTTAGCTCTCTTAAGAACACTCGATCTAGGGTTCTCTTCCAAGGAAATTCATGGATTTTTCTTCGTTTATCTTTAATCTAACATCTTCTAGACTTGCAACAAAAGACACATGGTGGAAGTAACAAAAGAATTACCACAAAATGCAGCCTCTTTATTACAGAGGTACAATAGCGGCCAAATGTTGATGTCAAGATCTAACCATGTTGCTAATGTAGAAATGGGAGGACCAAATAATGGAGAAATTCAAAGTCAAACTGAAATGAAAAATTAAAGAGGCGAACCCCCCTCTACTTTGGAAAATCAACAAAAGGAGGAGGAGGAGCAAAGAGACCACATCAGCTTATAACTACTACAAAACAACATAAACCACCTTAAAATCTGCTCACAAAATGTAAATCCACCTTCACCTTTCTTTTACAGCAACTAAGAAGCAGGGGCGGCTCAAATAAACTTGGAGGTCTAAAGCAAAACTTCAGTAAGAAGCCTTATTTTTTTTGTTATAAAAGAAAAGAAAATTCATATAGAATTTCATTTACATTCTATTTTCTAGTTTTTTTATGCAAAGTTATTAATAATTTTATCTTATTCATTTAATCTCTCTTGAGACATACTTTTAATTTAAGTTTTTTTTTATCGTTTGCTAAAAACTTGTCCAGGGAACATTTTAGGATTATATTAAATTTTTAATTTTTTTGAGTTATGAATTAATAATCGAATTTTTTCACAATTCATGGTCTAGCGTGTGATTCCGAAAAAGATATTTCTTTTCTCAATTATGCTCAACAATTTAATCTTATTTTTTATTATGAAAATTTGTACTTGCTCATTTAAAACACTAAATATTCTTTTAAAATTTAATTACTATATAACCTATTAGGAAAATTTGTGGCTCCAAAATTATGGGGTCCAAAGCAGCTGCTTTAGCAACCCTTGAGCCGGCACTGCTAAGAAGAAGGAGGAGGAGGAGAAAAAGGTCTCAAGTTGTAAATTTTTGGATACTAGTTAAACTTTTTTTTTTTTTTTAAAGTTGATATATTTAAATGGAGGTGACCAAATAAGGTGCCCCATGAATTTTTTTACTGCAACAACGGATGCTTCCAGTTCTATTAGTATAAATGTAAGATCATCCCATCATAATTCAATTTGGGCAAGATAATCTCGCAAAGCCCCTGCACCATCCTCCTCTCAAATTTTCATTTTGATTCTCTTTTTGGAAAGCGTTTTTGATAAAATCGGTTCTTAAAATAAAATAGATTTTAAAAGTTTGATCGATCCAGAATATCATAGATATTTTCTTCATTTACTTCTTTAACAAACAAAATTAAATTGAAGAAACCACCCTCAGATAAGGGCGAATGGCACAAATAAGATATTTTTGTGCTACTATTGATTTTTTTATCCAGATAATAGAAGTTTTGGGAAAAAAGCTTTGTGCCAAAATTTTAAACGCCAGAATTTCATATTTGATTTGGGCAAGATTTTTAGGAAAAAAGCGAAGTGCCAAACTTTTAAAGCACACTCCTGATGATCGCCAGAATTTTATATTTGATTTGGGCAAGAATTTCCTTAACATGATGTTAAGGTGATCCTAACGATTTCGCCATAAATTCTGACAGATCACTAGAATCATTCAGCATTGTGGCTGAAAATTTTGGTGATTGTCAGAATTCCTGTTACTATTGTCAGGACTTAGGAACATCCTTTAAAATTTTGGTGCGAGGCTATTTTCTCAAAAATAAAATAAAATAATAATTAATGAGATCAAAATACAAAAAGAAAAATGTTATTAAAAATGTCCATCTAGTGTAATTTTCCGCTATAATGACTTTTAGTTGTTAGTTGTCCCAACGGCCCAGCGACCTTATTACCTTTGGACTATGTTTACCTTTACCTGGGATGGACGAAAGAATAAATTAATGAGTATCGTTCTTGTTCAGAATTGACACAGCAGAGATTTTAGTACACATAAGTATCATTTGCTTTGTCACTAGCACTTTTGATTTCGCAATCAACTAAATAAAATTTTTGAGAAAGATATATCGAGATGACTCTATTTCCCTGCAAACATATATCATCTTCAAGTGACCAACAACGGACAGCAGTGTCTTCTTCATTGTTTTACCAAGAAAGTTCTTAGAATTCTCAGTACTGCAACAACACATTAACGGGGGCACTCATCACTAAAAATTTTGAAAAGGATGCATGGAGTCAGTGACTTTATTTCCCTGCAAACCATACGTGCAGGACCATTTAAGCTACAGCAACTTCTAAACAGCCACATAAATGAATGTGGATCTATATATTTATGATCTTTCAATAATTCAAGTAGGCCCTAAATTGAATGTGCTTCGATTTTTATTGGATCTACAGAGTATACTTCGTGCACTCATATGAGGAATAATTCCTCTTCTAACTTCAAAAAAAAAAAAAAAAAAAAAAAAAAAAAATCCTCATAACAATTAACAACAATATCTTAGTTATACTCTCCCCGTCCACTTTAATTATTGACGATTTTCATCCAGAAATATGGCTAAAACCTCCTGCTAGAAAATCCTGAATCAAATAGAATTTAGAGTTTGCTCATTTTTTTTGATTGATGCAACGTTTCAGTTTCACCCATTTGCACAATGTCAAAAATGAAAACAGATGGAGTATTATTATTGCAAACTCTATTCTGTACATCCTAAGTAGAACAGGATAAATGTAAAAGGTGAGATAAGACAATTCACACTTCAACTAAATGGATTAATACCAGTTCCAAAGACAAAATAGCATCAAAGTTTTAACTTGACACCAAACCAAAAGAAAAAAAAAACATGTCGACATAATTTCGTTCCCACGATTATTGTAGCAAATAATTTAAAACAGGGAAATCGCAGCACACTTCACAGATTAAAATAAACTAAGTATTTAAAACTGATGTACAAGATGAACACCATGTTTCAAAGATAATATATCATCTTCAAGAAGCTGCGCCATTGCTAACAAAGGACGAAAACGCCTTCTTCACATTCTTCTTCGCCGGGTAATTGACTCGAAAACGCTTTGAATTCCCCATTCCACAGCCAAAACAGAGCGTTGAAGTTGGTGAAGTAGGGATCTGCAGTTTCTCATGATCATACTCCTCAATTTCTGATCTCGAACGGTAGTTCCTTGTGTTGGGATTATAACCAGTGATTGGAATGGAAGACATCGAAAACGACGATGAACAAGACGATGAAACAGAAGGGGAAGTGAGTGAAGGTGAAAAAGTGATTCTTTTAGAGGAAATCTTAGGGAAAATGGAGAGGAAAAAATTAGGTTTTGATTGTTTTTGCAAAGATTTCAAGTGGGCATTGGTTTGATAAGAAGGTGGAGGAGTAAGTGGAGGAAGAGAAGTATCTGAAAATTTATGTTTAGGAGTACCAGGTTGAGATTCCCAAACAAATGGAATTGAACCAGAGGATCCACCACAGTAATAATACCTAAAAGAAGACTCACCTCTTGCTGTATTTTCCTTAGACAAAAGTCTTGAAAAGAATTTGTCATCTTGTTTGATTAGAAGAAAATTTGCTGGATGATGGCTACCACCACTCACCATTTTCTTTTCTTTTCTGTACTTCACTTCAAGATCTGGAGATCTATAGAGGATGAAGTAGAAGAGAAGGAAAATAAGGATTTGAAGCTAAGATCTCAGTATTGGATTTTGGATATATTCAAATCTTGTGTATATATTTAAATGGTTTTAAAAGGTTGCTGAATTAAATGCGTAAAATAATTAAAGGAAACCATTCAGGAAAGGAGTGGTGTTTTGATTTCTAGGAATTTGGCTGCAGTGCAGGGGATGATTATTGACTTGGGCGGGGCACACTTTTATATTAAAAGAAAATAAGATTTTTGAACTCCAACCAATGTGAGGTCAGTTTATTTAATGTTTTGAGGTCATTCAAGAATATAATGGCCTTTTGTGTGTTAGTTAGTGTGTTAGTGTACTTAGAGTAAAATGAGATTTAATGCAGTTGGCCGGTACTATAACTAGTAAGTGGTAAACCATTTTATTACATTTATTTTTAAAACATTCAAGGCCATTGATTGAAGGGATGATATTGAAAGGGAGCCCGGGAACAATGATAAAGTTGTTACCATGTGACTTATAGATCACGAGTTCGAACCGTGGAATCTCAGCCACTGTAGATTGTATTAGGGTAAACTGCCTATATTACAAGCCCTTGGGGTGCGATCCTTCCCCGGACCTTGAGTAAACACGGGATACTTTATGCACCGGACGGCTCTTTTTGATCCGATCTTGATAAAAATTGAATTAAGAAAAATAAATTAGGTACAGTTGAGGAGGAAGATGGATCTAATAAATGAGAAATGGATGTGGTTCCATGACTATTAAAGGGAAGTTGTTTCCATGGTTGATGAGAAGACAAAAGTTTACGTCGTTTGAATTATGTGACTTTCATCCCATTACTCTCCAATCATAAATTCCGAAATGCAACGAATTGGAGGCAAACCTTGTATTTCGTTGCAATGCAACAAACCTTAAAATATAGGATTTAACTCTATACACTAAAATATAATTCCTTGATCATTTCATATAATACCTAAATGATAAAAAATTCCTTGATTAATACAGAATTTTGCACTTTAATGCTACTGTAAATTCAGATGCACCGACCGAAAGGAGTAATTAGTGTACTTATAACTTGTATTTGTTGAAGACTTTAGTTAGAGAGAGGCATCTAATGAGTAATAACTGTCTAGCTTTCAACCACCAACTTTAGTTACTAGTCCTCGACTTTCTTGTTGAGGAAGCTCAAGCCTTAATTTGGCCTGCTCTCCATATTCAGTTTACACGTATTATCTCAAAAGTAACACGTGCTATATAAGCAAATACAGTGGTTGCTTTCCGGTTTAATACTATAATAACTTTTATTGAAGGGAACCCCACAAAAAATCTTTAAAACGAGAAAAAATCTGATGAATTATTTTTGAATCTTTTTCTTATATGTTTTAGAACACTTTGATGGGTAAATTGTCCACTTACATGATTACATCTATGCAAGGGCGGAGCTAGAAGTCCATGAACTTAATTAATAATTTTTGCTCAAATAGTATATCAATATTAAAAAGTTCATTAAATATGAATAAATATTGTATTTATAATCCAATTATTAGCATTTAAAGTTGTCGCGTTAAAATTTAAAACTCATAAATTTAAAATTCTGACTCATATGTAGATGAGTTGGTATGTTTTATTCTAAACCGTATCAATCCATAAATTTGCGGTATATGCGCAAATTAGTTTTAGCAATATATATAACCTGATATATCCACAGAACCAAGGTAATTGTTATACACTTTTAACATTCTATATTTATTTATTGAAAAGAAGAAAAAAGGAAAAAGATGGGAAAAGAAAAACAAAATGAACAAGAGAACAAAAAGATCAACATCGTTTAACCGGAAAAAAAAAACATCTTCTACCCAGACATAAACAAACTAGGAGAGCATGGCCACTCAATATTCCGTCAAAATGGCCCATGACTGTGTAACGTGATCTTTACCAATCACAATCCTTTGTGTTTTCATTAAATAACAACACCAACCACAAGTAAAACTTTGGTTACGACATTTAACCTACATCTAACCATATACCGTTTTCTTTCTTCTTTTTTCTTTACTTCTCAAGAAATAATATACAGACAAAACATGAGCAGAAAATAGTCAAATATCGAACATAGAGTAAGAAAGTATGCACGCAAGACAGCTAGCATGTCTTGCTGCGGTTTTAAGGGGTTGAAAAAACACATGCAATAACCCTAAAATCACATGACTTTCTTCACTTCACACATGCTCTTTTTTCATCTCTAATGCAAAATTGGCCGTCAATTTAACGTGTTGTTGCTCCTTTAATGGCATTGATTCCTATCTGATTTAATTATTCACGACCCCAAAACCAAAAAAGAAATTACTATATACCTTCATATCTGTTCTTTTATTTAGTACGTCCAGCCTTAACCATAAAAATATTATTGCTCTTCATCTCACCGTAAATATCTATCTCATTTAATTAACACTCCACTAACTTGAACAGTACTATGTGTAGATTCAAAAAACAAGTGATAAATGACCTCTTATTTTGCTAAATCGTTAATTTTTTTAAGATAATTCAAATTATTACTCTTTATGTCTCAAATTATTTGTAGTGCTTCTCTTTTACATGTCTCTTTAGAAAATATTAATTAAAAATATTTTTGACTATTTTACTCTTATTTATGTCATAAATATAATTTCTCTTCGTTGAACATTTACTTTATTTATGTATCATCTCCATCTTCAAGAATAATTACTACTAAGGGTAAAATAGAGAAAATAATTAATTTTATGTTGAACTTTAAAATGACAAATAATTTGAAACACCTATTTATAGAAATCACAACAAAATACTACTTATATTTGGGATCCGGAGGTATTAGTTATATATTTAAGCTATAAGGTGTGGTTAAGGGTACGAAGTAAGAAAAAGGAAGGAAGGTGTGTCGAATTTGACTATTTGACTTAGTCAGTGGGAAGTTAATACGTCTGAAATTGAAAGAGATGTGTTGGTATTTAAAAAGGTATAAACCAAGTTCTGCACTTAATTAATTTTTCTACCGTACTTATAATATTAATCGCTGGATTAATGTGGTCACTGCCGATGGTCTAAGTTAAATGAGTCTGATTTTTTATTCTTCCAACTGATGCTGATTTCTAACTAATTGATTTTACTCCAGCATTAAATAATGACTCTTCAGCCACACAAAATTGCATTGTCGTACAATACTACATGTGATAATAGATATTTTTGGCAATCGTTTTCATTTAATGGAAAGTTTTGGTGCTTTAAAATTTTAATATCATTATACCATTTATAAATTTCTGGGTAGTTTTTGAGGCCATTTTTCTAATATTTATGTGTTAACACAAAAGTAAAGCATCGTCTTAGTTGAGGAGTTTCTTTCTTTGTTTCTGGTGTTTTGCTATATTTTCTCTGACTATAATATTTTCTTTCCTTTTTTTTTTCTTTCTCTTGACGTGACCCAAATAAAGGGGATAAAAGGACAAATAGAAACATAGTATAATATATAAATGAACTACCTGATTAGACCGACAATCAAATTCCGTTTAGTTATGGAAATTATTGCATGCAGTAGACCTAAAATTGTTATATGGGTTTTTGAAGCAGAAGGTAGACTATTGCTACTTTATTAATTACTAGGTTGAGTTATATGCAAGTCATAAATGACACTCTCTAACGGTTGGTGCATTGAAGATTATATTCTAAAATAATACAACTATTACTTGCTTACAAGAATGATGCTATTATTGGAGTCTTAAAAGGTGGTCCATAAATAATTAAAATTTCGCTCACAGCAAAAAACTCGAGAAAAGGAATAGAAACTTTCAGTCGAGTAAACGGCAAAATATCTTAAACCACTCCTAAACTTGGCTTAGATTATTAGTATTCTTCCCGAATTATGTCCGATCTTAATTATCCCCTTCAATTTGGCCTTTTGAGGGTCATTACCTCCCTAGACGCTGATGTGGCAAAAAGTATAGGTGTACTCGCCTGCCACGTAGATTTTTCTGTTTATGTGGCATTTTTTTGAAAAATAAAATATTTTTTTTTATCTTTTTAAGAATATTACTTTTTTAGATAATTTTTTTCGAATAAAATTTTGATATAACTACAATTTTTAGGCAAAATATTTTTATTTTGCCAAAAATAATAAAGTTTTAGTTAATCTTTTTTTTGAATTTGACCTGAAAATAAAGATTTATACAATTGAAATAAATAGTCAAGTCATCTAAAAAGTTATAAAAATACATAGCTGAAATAAATAGTCATTGTATCAAAAGAAGAAATAAAAAAAATGTACAATTGCACTTGTAATTTCTTGCAATTGTACACTCTTTTTATTTCTTCTATTGATGCAATGACTATTTATTTCAACTGTGTATTTTTACTTTTTTAGGTAATATCTGTAAAAAAATAAAAATAAAAAATTAGAACACCGTAATTTAGAGCTATATAAAAAATTATAGCCAAAATAATTAATTTCAAACTATGTATTTTTTTATAGCTTTTTAGATGCCTTGACTATGTATTATTTCAATTTTATAAATCTTTATCTTCAAGTCAAATTCAAAAAAAAGATTAACTAAAACTTTATTATATTTGGCCAAATAAAAATATTTAGGCTAAATAATGTAGTTATATCCAAGTTTTATTATAAATTTTATTCGAAAAAAATTATCTTAAAAAGTAGTATTCTTAAAAAGATAAAAAAATATTTTATTTTTCTAAAAAATACCATATAGATAGAAAAATCCGTGTGGCAGGCGAGTGCACCCACACTTTTTGAGTCTAGGGGGGTAATGGCCCTTAAAAAACTAAGTTGAAGGGGGTAATTAAGACCGGACATAATTCAAGGAGAATACTAATAATCTGAGCTAAGTTTAGAGGTGATTTAAGGTATTTTGCCTCTGATAAACGGTTAGTTGGAGATTTGGAGTTTATCACTCTTCCGGAAAGACGTTTATTAAGAAAGT